AAAAAAAAAAAAAAAAAAAAAAAAAAAAAAAAAAAAATGTAGAGGGAGCTCCTTGGAAAATTATACTTTATGTGTATGCCTTTGGGTTCGCAGAGCCGGCGAGGTTCGAGTTCCCGAGCAAGAACGTGACGATACGCCGGGGCGAGCCGGTCGTGCTAGATTGCACGGTGATCGGCGACAACCCGATAACCGTCCAGTGGACCCACAACAGCGAGCGATTGGACACGGATCTTTACCGGATGAGGGTCAGCCAAGTCAAGTCGGACAGTGGACTAAAGTCCCAGTTGTCCCTCGGGCACGGAGATCGGCAGGATTCCGGGGTTTACAAGTGCACCGCTGATAACGATTACGGGCACAGCGAGCACTTTATCTATCTGGCTGTACAAGGTGCGTTTTCCTTGTTTTTCTTTTTTCATTCATTTGTTAGGAGTGGGGCTGTTTATTGCTCATCTGTTGCGATTCGGTCCAACGAGTCAGGGAGAGAGCGAATCGGTACTTTGGGCACCACTGCATCTACATCGGGTGCAAAATTTTATTCTCTCTGATTTTCGAATCAAACGGAGAGGAAATGTTATTTATTCGTCGTAATTATACGTCCAAGCGATAGCATAAAGTAGTCGTGTAGGATCGATAACGAATGGAAGCGCAAGTCCATAGAATTGACATTTCCCATTGAAATACAGAGAGGCCCGACGCACCATCGGCGCTCGAAGTCATCGAGATTGGCTCGAGATCGATCAAGCTCTCGTGGAACAAAGCCTTTGACGGTAACAGTCTGATTCGGGAGTACGTTATCGAGTACCAGCCAGTCTCCCATGGCATACTCGAGGACGACTGGGAGCCCTCCAAGACCCACAATATTTCCCATGCTCCCGGCTCATACTACGGACACGCCTCCAATCCTCCACAGAACGGTATTTATACATCTCCCATCGGTATTCCCTTCATCAAGGAGTATTTTATGTTTCAAATTTATAAATGAATCATGGATAAAAGAGTAATCTGATGTAAACACATTCATTCTTTATTAAACGATTTTCATCCACAAGATCATTGGAATGGCATTTGCGGTTGCATTTTTATAAGATCCACAACTTTTTTGATTTCAAAATTTATAAACCTCGATTTTTCGTTCTTTGGACCAGAAAAATGCATTAGCCCCGATGAAAATGTAAAATACTCCAGTGAAGCAATCGTGCCTAATAAAATACATATTAGCAACGTAACTCATTGTGCCTCAAAGGTATGGTTCGTTACGAGACGTCCACGGATGACCAGGAGACAGTGCTGGTCGGAGGACTCCATCCAGCCGTGACCTACAAATTCCGCGTGTTCGCCATTAATTTCATCGACACGAGCGAGCCAACCGGCCCAGCAGTTGCTAAAACTCAGGAAGAAGGTACTATTCCGAAAAAACTCTCGTAAAAGTTTCAACGAGTGCTAACCCCCGGGCATTGTTTCCAGCACCCACGGAACCCCCGCAGAACATCAAAGTCAGCTCGGCCGGGCCCGGAGAGCTGATAGTCACTTGGGAGGTAATAATAATAATAATAATAATAAAATAAAAAAATTAAAAATGCGCGATTTATAATGTTGGCTTCGTTGTTTTACAGGTGAAGCCCGTTTTCTTCCAGGTAAAATGTCGCTCTTGAACAAAAAAATTAACGTAGTTTTTAATCATAAAAATTTTTTGTTGTTGCATCGTTCGTTCTCGCATTTTGATTTTGTACAACTTATAATTTACTCATCCGTGACATTCGCATGGAAGTTCAAACTATCAATCTTTATGAAAATTTCATTATAAAACTTGGCAAAACTATTCGCAAAATGAAAATTTAAAAATGACAAGATCTTCGGGTACGATTAAGCTTTCGAAGGAATAACACATTCCTATAGTCACTATACATCGGTTAAGGGGTTTAAATAATAAATTCGCCTACCTTATCGAAAAAAGTTTTTTTATTTATAATTGTATATTTGTTAATTGAGTAAATTCTACAAAATATACGTATAAAGGTACTTACGTTAACGCTTGATCTACGATATAGTAAGGTTCTGAGCAAACACCTACTTGATCATCTAAATTATTTTCGATACAAATTCTTTTACGCTTATCTAAAATACATCTGCTCAAAACTTGACAAGATAATATATTGAGTCTCAATTTAGTGCTTTTGTTTTAGTCTTTAGTAAATTTTTTCATTCCCTTGACTTGTTAATAAGAGAAATATTGAAATTAAAAAAAAAAAAAAAAAATTGTTCATAGAAAGAGGACTATGCTAAACATGATTTAATCGATCCTCATATCACACCATCGCTATTCACCCGCACCATCAGCGTATAAAATCGCAATCCATCTTCCGTAGTATTCAAACTAATGTCCATGTCCATCTGCACACGCACAATACAATCATTATAATGTTCTTTTTTTTGCAAAACGTTCAACTGCAGCTTTTATTTACTACACCGCAAAAACCCAACGCAACCCCTCTGTGCTTGTACTTGCAGAAATTGGAGGAAACCGTGGCTGAGAACGCGCGCCTCGAGCAGGACCTCGTGGTCCTTCGTCAGAAGCTCCAAGCCTCGCGCAGGTACGCAGGTAACGTGCAAGCGACGCGAGACTCCAGCGGGACCCAGGCCGCCCTCGAAAAGGAGCTTCGTCGCGTCCAGCAGTTGGTCGGCGACTTGCAGCGACAACGACAGGAGCTCAGCATACAGGTCCGACAGCTCACCGAGAAATCCCACAGCCTCGTCCAGCAGATCAGGCCACAGGCTGGCTCCGGTGAGTCACTGCCCCGACTCCCCTCGTCTCACCCCGTGGGGGGAGAAAAAAAATTAACTTCTTGTACTATTGCTCAGCACCGCAAGTTCACCAGTCGAAGAAGCGCACGCCAAACACGTGGCTCGAGACGGACCTCGACACCGGCCTGACCCACGAGCACGGCCTCGAGCACTCGTCCTCGCCGGCCTCCTCGGCATCCCCCCGCGCCAAACTGAACGGCAGCCCCTACCAGCCCCCCCTGAACTCGCCCCAGTACGTTAAGGAGATTGTCGGTCAGTCGCGCTCGCCCGTGTCCATCGCCTCGTCCTCGTCCTCGTCGCAGTACTGCCGGCAGGTCCAGGGCCAGGCTGCCTCGCCGCCCAACTGCACCGTACCATCCGTCAACGGCATGTCCCCCCAACTCAGGGAACAGATCCAACAGCACCAGCTCAAGCAACAATTGCTCAAGGACCAGATGCAGGGCAAGGCCACCGGTAGCGCCCCCAATCTGCACCATCAGGCCAACAACAATAACCACCATCATCATCACAATCACCACCACCATCACCATCACCATCAGCATCACAGCAGCAACAACAGTACGAGTAGCAATAACAGTAGTAACAACAACAATTACAACAACAATGCGGTGCCGCTATACGTGAATGCCAACGTTGTGCAAGAGTCGAGGAATAGGCACGGTGAGTTTTTTTTTTTCTTTTTAATTTATATTAATCGTTGACATCTCTCTGTCTCTCTCTCACATTGTCGTTGCGCGTATTACCTTCACGTTTCACTTGTCATGATTCGAGAATCAATTTTTGTTTTTTTGTTTTTTACTAGTGATTTATTTGTTGAGTACATTGTTTGCACAACTTTTTTTTTTCCATCCTCAATTCTGTATTATATTTCATATAAAAGTTTGGTTGAATATCCCCGGATCACGATAAAATCGAAGCTCAATTAAGTGTTCATGTTTGGTTTATTAGTTGCATATTTTTGATTTATAACATGTCCACGCATAGTCAGCCATATGTCCTCTCTGTGTCGAAACCCACACGTCATCGCATTCGTGTCACATCAGAGTAGTGTCATTAACAAAAAAAAAAAAAAAAAAAAAGCCACCGCTGACACAATGGACGAGTAGCTACAGGCGTACTTGTACGTCGTGAAGGATGTACAGGGTGTGGATAAAAAAAAAAAAAAAAAAAAAATGTTCAGAAATGCACTTGATTAAAGTCCAATTCTTAATTATTTGGAACCGTAGACTTTGGTGACTATCACGCAGTAGGCACTACAGTGTAGTTACCTTGCGAAAAGGGAACCGCGTTAGGTAAGACACGACAAATTTTGCCGAACGCCCGAAGAAACGATAATCAAACAGTCAATATTTTGTTCACTAGTTACCTTAGAACTTAGCTAGCACCTGTTTCATTTTTTTCTTTCTTTCTTTTTTCATAGTTCGATGTAGTTGGAACAAAAAAAACATTTACTGGCTCTGTCTAATTATTCGTTTCGTATATGCGATCGGTAAAATTGAAAAAAAAAAAAAAAAATTTTGTTTCCTAGCTGCAACGTTCGTTCAATTTAACGTGTTACGATGATAATTATAATTTTACTTCATGTGTACATTGTCAATCTAGATGACAATGTACTTACGCTTTTTCGTTTTCTCTATTTGTTACACGTATACATATATGTTATTATGCGCATGGATATACGTAGAAGGTACATTATGCCATGTGTCGATGATATGTATAATTCTATTGAGATTGCGTACACGCAATGTTCTTGTGTATGTGAATTTATGGAAATGCTCTTTGCTGTACAAGCTTAGCCATTTTTTGTTCAATGTACACATGACATGTCCCGTAGCAACAACAAAAAATGATGATGAAATGAAACATGAAATTGATATATTGCAGAGAGCGTCAAGGGTCACTTGTACGAGCATCACATGACTAACGGCGCTCCCATGCTACCACCGCCCGAGTACGTGCCACCACCGCCACCACCGCCACTCTGCAGCGAAGATACGACGATCCTGATGAACGGCGGCTACAACCACGACGAAGGTAAACTTGCACGGATGCTTGCTCCAAAGGGGCGCGTCTGGACCTCGTATGTATGTATATGCCAGCCCGACATTTCTTGCTCCACTCCATCGTTAATTTAAACTTTGTTGGCTCCTCCAAGCCGTGGCTTCGACGTATATAACTATATCATTTTGATGGATACGCGTACGGTCTCCCAACTAATTGGATTTCCAATAAATTGATCGGCAATACCATACTTGTGCACGTTTTTGTTTCATAAGGAGTGGTGAATTTGTTTTTCATTTCCCAAGGTTCGGTGCACAATCGCGAAAAACAAGAGATCAAGACGGTTCGCATAGTGAAGCGCGAGTCCGAGAGGCGTCAGAGGGACCGGGGCGACAGGACCGGCAACATTGGTATTCCTCTGACAAATGGACTGCAGGCACCGGGTGGCGCCAAGCGACTCGGCGATGACGACTTTGGCGGTTCTCAACACTTTGAGGTATCATTGACGCAACAAGACTCAAAACGTCATGGTATTTATTTGATAACCTCGTAATCGTTGTTTGAAAAGGCTCAGCTGGATCGCGTGCTCGAGGAGACGCCGATGGTACATCACGCCCAGAGCAGTGGACAATTGACGGAGCTCGACGAGGCCCAGTTTCAGCGTAGCATGTCACTGCCCCGTGGCTTCGGGAGCCACCAGAAGCCACAACCCGGCGTCCACAAGTCCGGTGGTCCAGTGCCACCGCCACCGCGCAGCGACAGCATGACCGCGCTTAGGAACATCATGGCGCGAAGGCAACGCGTGAGGGTGAGCTTTTCTTTTCCTCCTTTTTTCTTTTTTCTTTTTTTTTTTTTTTTGCTCCCTTGGGCTCATGATATACAATTAACGAGCTAGGGTGGGTCATCATTGTTTGTTGTTATGTTACTGCCTTGCTTCACTTAGATTGCACCAAATAATTTTGAGGGAAACCTTTCTTTTTTTCATACATACGAGATCAATGGCTAAGTAGGTCTTGGCTGCTGCTTCCGGAATGTATTTTATTCTACACATTTTCTTAATAACAAATCATTGCATTTTTATCATGCATCCGTACGTATCATGAATTTTTAGAGAATGCGCGCAACGAAAGAGCTGCAAAGTTACGTTGTCGTTACAATTTTTTTATTTTATTGTATCGCTGTGCATTAAACATTTTCTCACGAATATTTACTAAACATCATGGAATTTGAAGGAAACCAAACTGCACGTATGTAGTAACGCTAAAAATCATGTTTTCTAGAGGATTTTTCTAAAAGCTTACGAAAGTAAGGAAAGATTTTCACCTGGTGTCGTTGATTTTCCTTCAATTTTCAAAAACAAAAATATCTTTGTACATAATACATATATACGTGCATCCCGTGCATTTTCATGTCAAAAGTCCAAACAACAAAACGATTGAATACCCATGTACAAAGCCCCTGAACGCAAAAACTATGGATGAGACAAATTATTTTTTTAACTATTAGCTTATGACTCATTACAAGCATCAAATAAAAAGCAAATCATTTCACCCCCTCCCAATTCCTCTAAACGCACTGGCTCATTAATACTCATGTATGTTTATTTTTCGTTCGACCCTGCCGACCATATCCCATCTTGTCATGTTCCCCTTAACAACATCACCACATCGAACTCTCGGAAATCAAACAAAACAAAAACGTATACTTACAAAACAACCCACCACAACGACGTCGACAATCACAAAACGAAAAAAAAAAAAAATGACAATCGGTAGTTTGAAAGCCAGGACGCAAACAGCTCGGATGGCACTCTGTCGCCCTACGCGACCGACAGCCCGACCTTTTCCCTGTCCCACCCGACAACGCAACCTATGGCCGCTAGCAGCACCGGCACGACCAGCAGCCTCGTCTCCTCGCCCATCGGCAATTACCACGGCTACTCCACGAGTCCACCCTACAGCCCCAGTCAGAACCAGCCGCCCTTGTACTACATGCCCACCTCGCCCCATCCCTACGGCCCCCAACAGCAACAATCGGCAATGCCACCCCACCAACAGCAATGCGGCTACGCCGGCTCGAGCTCGTCCCTCGTCATGAGCCCCGAACCTGCAGCCAGCGACAAGCTCACCGGCAGCAGCACCGAGCTGCTCGCGTCCTCCAGCCAGAGCCTGGCCGAGCAGTCGTCGCCGGCTCTGTCGCCGGTTTTCAAGAGCGAGGCCGCCAAGCAGATCATCAAGGAGATGGCGGAGAAGAAGCCGGAATCCTTGGCGAGCAGCCGGCTGAGGCGCAGAGCCGTGCCCAGGGAGAAGCGGAGGCATTACACGGTCTCGAGTAGCAAGCCGATGCTCGATCTCGAGGACTCGTTCGCCAAGATGGTACCTCTCTCTCTCTCTCTCTCTCTCCTTTTCAACGTTTCACCAGACCGCTTTTTCGTTTGGTTTTTTTTTTCTTTCTTCCTCGAACGTGTGGTTTTCCGCCGTCTCCCCCTCTCTCGGTCTCTTGACTCTTTCGCTTTGACGTCCAGGTTTTTTTTGTTTTTTTTTTTTCCTCCTCGCGCAGGATCGTCGTATAGCAGTGGCTGGCCAAGGATTCTACCTTCGTTCTCCTTTACATGTCGAAAAACACTTTCATTGTTCTCCCCACTTTTTCCTCCACGGCAACAACGTGCACGCCACTTGCTGTTCAAGCTTTTGCAACAAGTCTCGAGATAATATTATGTTGATCCTTGGAAATTTTCTTTTTTGTTTTGTGCCCATATATATATATATTTCCTACTACAACATATATATATAATTTTAACATCACCATGATCAAAAAAATTAACTATTGCTTGTTTTATGTTACGCTTTATGGCGCACTTGAATGGTTTTTTTTTTTTTTTTTTTTTTTTTAAAATATTACAACCCGTCAATCTGTACATATTATATAACACCTTTGAAATGCCTATATGAATCCTTGGGAAGATTACAACTGTACAATTTGTTGTAGTGGCCATTTTTATCGCATTGCAAACTCCCATGATTAAATAATTCTCATAAATAGATGATAAAAGATGAAACGTCATTGTTTAGGGTATGGGCAGAGCACGAGACGATGTGGACATGGAACGAGCTTTGCGGCCTAGGCTCAACGCGCCCGACGTCGTTCGGTCGACGCTGAGCCACAAGGAGCTCAAGTACAACGAGAGCACGATCGACTCGCTTCTTGGCACTCCGAATAAGATTGTCATTCCTGAACGATACGTGCCCGAAAAGGTTTGGATTTTTTTTTCTACATTGTTACGATGTTTGTATGCCATGTCAATGATCTTACATTGAAAATTACTATTTTTTTTTCTATCACTCACAGACCCCAGAGCTGACTGCGGAGGAACAAGAGCAACGACTAAAAAAGGCCGAGTCGATCAGAAAAATGCTGTCCGAGACTGGGGTCACAGCTTCCGAGGGCACAGGTCTGTAATTTAGTTTATTTTATTTTTCTATAACACACCGGGATATGATTTAGATTCAGGTACGCAAACTAGTGTAAAAACGGCTCAAAAAAGGAATAAAACATGTATACCCACATGTCTACCAAAAAGTAATGGAATAATTTTACATGCAATAATATGTATAATTTTTTGTATACAGAAGATGAGCCACTCTCCGAAAAGTCCAACACGTTGAAAAAGAAGGTGGCCGAAGAAAAGCGCCAAAGAGAGCACATTCTCCATCTGAACCAAATACTAGCGAAGCAAGTGATGGAGAAGAGCAAAATGGTGGCTGGTACGAAACGTCAATTACATCCACACGTGGTTTCGTAGCTTCATTGAACCACTACTTACTTATTTATTATTATTTTATTTTTTATTTTTCTTTACTTTCATTTGGAGTTTCACTCGTTATATGCATGACACAACCAATGTTCAATATTGAAATTAAAAAAAAAAAAAAAAAAATTGTTCATAGAAAGAGGACTATGCTAAACATGATTTAATCGATCCTCATATCACACCATCGNAGAAATTTTTTTTATTACTTATTATTGCTCTTATCCTCTGTTGTTGTTATTATTGTTATTTATTTGCTATATTTTGCAATCCTTGAGCTCGTTATATCTTTTAGTGGCATTTCGAGTGTTTGCTATTTATCAAACAATATTAGTGACATTTTTTTTGGCAAAAACTCAGTTTCATAGTCAATGACACTAGAAAATCTATTTCATTGCTTCGTTGAATAAGTTAATGACTTTGAAAAAAAAATCTCGTTCACTTCTATTCGTAAGCAATTGTGATTAATCAAAAAGCTACTAATTTCCGCTCAGTAGTTTATCAAAATTAATTAGCTTCATGGAAAAAAAAACGAAAATAAATGGTTTAACAAATAAAGCCAAGCTTGTCTGCATTGACGATGAACTAAATAATTTGCCAACTAGTAGAGTGTCGTTTGGAACGTTTGTGCTGTGTGTAGGTAACCAGGCGCACTGACTGACATGCTTCCTCCATCTTCCCACATAGGAAAAGCACATCATATTACTGTTTGTCAGGTTTGTTTCTTTTTTTTTTTTTTTCGTTTAGTTACGTTACAATCGTTTTGTTAGTAATTAATCGTTTTGCGATTTTCGTTTTATTTTATTATTTTGCAAATTATTCATAAAAATCTTTAACTTATTTATCGTAAAAGATGTTTTCGCAATCAATAAGTCAAAGATACAGCTTCTTGAACCAAGTAAATAAAAATTTGTTACGAAAAATTATTTAAAAAAAAGCCACTAACGTGATGTCTTTTGAATCTGTCACAGTGAAAGCTCTCGCTACCGTACCCCTGAACGCCGAATCGAGCATTGACGACGACGATCTCTCGCCGCTGACGCCTCTGCCACTCTACCAACAGCGGGAAAACTTTTACTCATAAATTATACCTATACCTGCGAGAACCGTCAATTTTTTCCCCATCGAATGTTATTACTCATCGGTCCATTTGTACATAAAACATAATTATATACATATACGGCAGTGGAAGGGTTACCAGTTGACTATGCGAACCGTTAAGAGTTTACGTATGTATAGTTGCTCGTTGAATTTTTACGTTTTACCAGATCGATTAATATAAGTGACGCGTTTCCGTCGCTCTAGCGATTGGAGCTATCGGTAAACCATCGTGCAATACACTTTATTACGCATATACACGTACAATAATAGAAATGCAATAAAAATTGCTGGAATTCGTTACGCAACCATCGTATCGATGTATCATTCAAAGGGTGTGCGACGCTTGTGATTCATGTATCGTTCATGACAAATCGGTAATTTTAAAGTTGTACGAGATCGATAGGGTATTAGAGATGAAAGTAATTCGTATGTATAATACAACATATGTACCAATCACTGTGTAGCATAAAAATAATAACGATGACAAGATTTTTTTTTTTTTTTTTTGTAATTTTTCATCGTCGATTAATTATAAGAATTTAAATTGTACACCTTGTATATGAAACTATTGCGTCATATCATCGATCACCATGCGATTTTTTAGAAATTTTTCGATTTCAATCATATATATTGTATCCATCCTTAAAAGACTTTCGATTGACTTTTTTTATGTAATGTATATGATAAATTGTTAACTTCAAGACTACGCTGATTAACTGAGAATTTTATTGATTATCTTGAATCAAAATAAATAAGAATGACGTGAGTTAATACAAAAGTCAGTGCCGAAAAGTTAAAATTAAACTGAAACTTGACAATTACGGCGTTATAAAATCAACCACGTCAATTAATCGATACTTGAAAAATTTGTTCATCATCTGTTCACCAAATCTAATCGTAATCCATGTGTTATTTTTTATTTATTTTTTTTTTCTTCATAAATTGTCTTGTACATAGTTTTAGAAAAAATAATGGCACCTCTTTTCTCCGTTTATCAAGTATTCTCTCACTTTCGTTCTTTGTATCACGTTTTTTACCCGTTGGCTCATCAAAAGCCAATTACTTCGGTACAGCTTTAAGAAAAAGTTATGGTAACGCAACTCTTGTACAAAAATCATAAAACTAACTTCTTAGACACTATGGAATGAAATACTGTATTATTCGTGTACAATATAGTATATAACATAAAAATGACTAGATAGAAATGCGAGAATAACAATAATCTTAAAAAGAAAATGGTAAAGCTTGGATCACGTGAAAAAAAAATTTTTTTTTTT